ATCATCAAACACAATTCCCTTCACCAGTACTTATTTTTCATGACCAAGAACCCCAATATACCCCCCTCCCAACCCTCCCAATGCCTATGAGGCAGATGAATTCTAGTTAACACTATCTACTTTGATTAGATTCATTGTTTCGACAAAAGATGCACCATTATTGTTTAGAGTTTACACCCCCATATCAGACCTGCTGAAAAGGCATTGTGAAGTAATTTGTTCTCTACTGCTGGTTACAAGAACCAAATGATGTCACACCGCCACAATTGTGGCTGCGCAATTTTGGATTTCTGATATTTTACTTGTTAAGCCTGGAAGTATTTCTGCCGAGAGTCAGATAATTATAAGATTGGTTTCTGTGGCTCTAGAGCCATGGCCATGCCAGAGAGCCACTCATGGGGGGCAACTTGTGACCTCGGTAGGGCATGAAGGATGAGCAGGGAATGTCCCCCTTCCCATGATCACTGTATTTTTAAAAGTTATTATCTGGACGAGATCGGGCACATTCAGGGTAGTAGGGCATTTGCCTTGCACACGGCAGACCTGGGTTTGATTCCTCCGTCCCTCTTGGAGAGCCTGGCAAGCTACTGATAGTATCCTGCCCCCATGACAGAACCTGGCAAGCTCCCCGTGGCATATTCAATATGCCAAAAACGGTAACAACAAGTCTCACAATGGAGATACTACTGGTGCCCACTCAAGCAAATCGATGAACAATGGGAGGCCAGTGCTACAGTGCATTATCTGAAATTTTTAGAAAATTCTGAATTTAGAAATTTTTAGAAAATTCTGAATTTAGAAATTTTTAATTTCTACTTAAAATATTCAATATGCCAAACACAGTAACAACAATTCTCCTGAAGGAGACATTACTGGGACCACTTGAGCAAATGGATGAACAATGGGAGGACTGTGACGACCGTGACCGTGACTTAAAGTATTGCTCCCGAAATGAAAGCTTTTTTAGTCTTTCAAGATTCTTATTATAACTGAGTTTATAGTACAATAACTTTCATATTTTATGTGCTTATTAGAAAGCCCATTTCTCTTACTGGGTTCTACGTTATTGCTCCAAAATCCTTGCACCAAAGAGATAGTGCTTAATTGCCTTGCTCAGAGCCAAACCTTGTTCAAATTCCAGGCATCACATTTGGTCTCCCTATACTGCCAGAAGAGATCACTGAAAAGAGTCAGGAGTTAGACCCTGAGAAAACCAACGTTAACTTTTTTTTTGTTTGTTTGAAGGACATTACTTCTTATAGCAGCTTTCACTTAGTAACAATATTTAAGATTCCTTTATGTGTATTCATGACTTGAACATTTTCATATTCTTTTCTTAAATTTTATTTTACCAAATCACCGTGATTTATTTACAAAGTTATTCATAATGAATTTTAGTATAAAATGGTCCTATACTCATCCCTTCACCATTGTACATTTCCTACCACCAATGTCCTCAGTTTCCCTCTCTCCACTACCCACATCCCCCACCCCCTCCCTAACTGCTTTCCCTTCTGCCCTCCACTTGTGGCAAGCTTTCATCCATTGACCAGTCCTATATGTTGATAATATTTTATTACATAGCTTTATTATAATTTAGATTACCACTTGCTGGAGCGATAGCACAGCGGGTAGGGCGTTCGCCTTACAAGCGGCCAACATGGCCGACCCGAGTTCGATTCCTCCGCCCCTCTCGGAGAGCCCGGCAAGCTACCGAGAGTATCTGATATGCCAGACACAGTAACAACAAAGTCTCCAATGGAGACGTTACTGGGCCCGCTCGAGATTACCACTTATTAACATGCATCTTATTTTCTCCCTCCACTTTTTTCACAATTATAAATATAACTTATAAACCTCCATAAAATATCTTTGTAGATATGTTTTAAACTTCTTAGGCAGATACCAGGGAGCGAGACTGATGGATTATATAGAGTACATTTAATTTAACTTTGGCAGTAAAAGTGACTTTATGTTCCAATGTGACCAATCACTTAATCACTTAATCACTTAACTTCCCGTTAGTCGTCGATTTGCTCGAGCGGGCGCCAGTAACGTCTCCATTTGTCCCTGTCGCGTGCCAGTGTAGCCCAATGGCATCTGTTCGCTCCGGGAACATGAAGGGCCTCCAACCAATCGTTCATGATCTTGACGAAGAAGTCTGACCATCTGGTAGGTGGGCGGCCACCTACCATGTGACCAAATCATTTTGAATTTTACCAGCAAGGAAGATTAGGGTCCTGTTGATTCATATTCCCAGGAGTATTTGATATTGTCACACTTAAACTGTACATGTATAATTTTGCTTTTTTATTGTTAAATCACATTTCCCTGATGACAAAATGGCGTAGAAAACTTGTTCATGTGCTTAGTTGACATCTTCTTTGTTGAGGTGCCTTGTAAAGCTGGTGACCCATTTTCAAAAATCAGATTGTTGTTTTACTATTGAGTTTTCCATGTTCTTTCTATATTTTGAATTACAGTCCTTAACCAGATACTTCTTTTACAAATGATTTACAAGACACTCAGCTGTTTTCATTCCCCCTTTTTTTAAGACCAAAATTTTTTTTAAAGGAAACTAAGGGACTTGGGGGGAGGTTGTTTGTTTGTTTGATTTTTGTTTTGGGGGTCATATTGGTGATGCTCAGGAGTTACTCCTGGCTCTACACTCAGTCTTGAGTGCCATCTCTGTAAAGACCAATCCTTGGTTGTTCTGAGGGAAAAGGTTGAGGATATGTGTTGATGTCTATCTCAGGCTAGTTTGAAGGAAAGTGTATATTAACATAATAAAATAGAGGCGATAGCAGTTTTTAATTCTGTGTCCAATTTCATAGTATATTAAGAGTTCATAGTTTAACAAAATACTGCAGAGGACTGATTGATTTAGAAGTGGGAATCTTTGTAAAAATTAAGCTTAATTTTATTGGCATTGAAAACTAATTAGATTTTCAACACTATGAGGGTTATGAAATGAGATTCCAGCCGAGAAATAATTCAGTTATTCAAAAATTTAATTTAGATGTGAGGAGTGTCATTGTCCATGCCTTAGATTTATTCCAAAATTTTCTAAGATATATAAAATCAGATTTCCTTCATCTTTAGTAGCTAATGTTATAAAACCTTTATGAACCCAAGTATGATCTTATAACAAAATGCTGGGTTATGTGCATCTTCTGTAGAAAAAATAAATATATTTTGTGTTCAAATAAGCACATTTAGTACTTTTAATAATTTATCTTTGCTATTTAAAAATGATACATACAGTGCTGGAGCAATAGTAATGCAGGTAGGGTAGTTGTCTTGCATGCAGCCAACTTGGGTTCAATTCCTGGCATCCTATATGGTGCCACTGAGCCCTACCTTGGGTGATCCTTGAAGATAGTCCTGAGCACCACTGGTTGTGACCCCCAAACCAAATACACACACACACACACACACACACATATATTAGTTTTAGAACTATGGACTGTTTGCCTCACACTTTATTTCATCTTGTTAATGATTTAAACTGGAAATTATGTTGATGCTATATTATAACATCACTTTTTATATCTGTGATCTAGTATAGTCTTATTATATCTTCTCTCAGTGTGATACTGAAACATGTTACACATATGTTGTCTCTCTGGGAATCATATAACTCTCTGTATGGAATAATATTTGAGCACATCTAGTTTTTTTTAATTCTGAAAGCTTTTTTTTTTTTTGGTGGCGAGTGTAGCACATACCTAATGGTATGCTTAGGGCTTACTTCTGGAAATCCTCAAGGGACTATATGTAGTGCCAAATAATCAAATCCAGGTTAGTCACATGTAAGGCAAGAACTCTATGCACTATACTATCTCCCTTGCCCCTGGTGGTGAAGGTCTTAAAGAAAGATTTTAATAATGTTCATTTGAAGGGCACCTGCTACAATTTACAGAGATCCTGTTATGATAAATGTATCTATTATTTGTGAAATACAGGGAATTAATATTGATTTGTAATTATTTATTTCTTTACTATTATATTCTCAATTTTAAATGACTAAAACACATATTTTAGCAAAAGCATGAAAGGGGGTGGTAGAGTATTATGCTAATGTACAATGGAAGGACCTATGACTTAATTTTAGTACAGTTGACTGTAGATTCTCAAGTGATGCTACTGAGTCTAATTGCATTCCGCTGACTCTACTAGGTTTAACTTCATTTCAATTATTGACACATTTTTTTTTACCTAGGGGTGAAATTGATATGCTTATACATTGGGTAGACAAGTTTGGTGCCCATATAATTGACATTTTCCCGTGGTGAAACATGGAAAGCTAGAGTAAAAAAGTAGTAGGAGATACTACTGTAGAAAACACTAATGGTCTTGAATACAATTATCAAACTGTGTCAAAATTATTTTAGTTTGCATTCAAATTTTATACATCAGAAATTATAGAAGGTCTAACATGATTACAATGAAATTTGGTTCATTTTCCTGAAACCAAAAATCAGTTGCATAGAAAATTTATTAACTGATTTAAAAATATAATGTGTTACAAATAATATCACTTTCTTCAATTATATTTTGTATAGGCCATTTTTTCATCAAGTCAACCTATCAATCCCTTAGCTCCCTTATGTTTTTAGAGAGTAATGTTATTAGACAGAACTCAAGTCATTTGATCTCTAAGAAAACATGACTCAATCGTTCTTTTAGAAAATGGGTTACAGATGGATTTTTCTCTTCTTTTGTGGAATATGAATATTGAATGGAAAAAGTAATTGTTCTTAAAAAGCTAAATTCAATAAATCTGTAGGTGGTGGAAATGCTTCTTGTAGCTTTTGAACACCGAAAATGCGACTGGTGTGAGAAAGGAAATAAGTTTTTAATTAGAGTGCTACAATTTTTAAAAAGTTCCAGTTGTGGGATTGTCAACACATTAAAAAAAACAGTTAAAATTAAAAACAACAGAAAAATCAATTTAAGCAATGAGTTTAAAAGCAGCAATTTCCCCCATTTCTTTTTAGTCTCCTGCACATAGCTACTCAAGCTACGACTCTGGCAAAAATGAGAGTATGGACCGGGGTGCTGAGGACCTGTCTCTTAACAGGGGAGATGAGGATGAAGACGACCACGATGATCATGACGATTCTGAGAAAGTTAACGAGACAGATGGCGTGGAGGCTGAGCGACTGAAAGCTTTTAATGTGAGTCCTGCCGTACTCCCAATGTGGCCACATTTTTTACCACTTCACTTTCGTGTTGTTGCTTGTTGGTAAATGTGGATATTTTAGAGACACATTTGTTTAATTTACAGAAGGATTTAAAAAGTACATGAAACACTCTTTGCCAACCAGACACCAGAATTGCTGTGTTTTGTTTAGAATTTTAAAGCCAAATGTGAGCTGAAAACTGGAGTTGTGTTGTGTGAGTATGCATGTTTACCTAGTGGATGAAGGGGGCCTCAGTTTATTCCTCTGAAGAGGATGCCTGTCATCATGTGTTTCTGTTGCTTTCCTAGTTTATCTATGCATGACAAAGAGTTCATTGTTTTCAGAGATAGCACACTGTGCAGTGTAGCAATGTAGCAGCCATATTTATCATTAATAGACAATTTTATGGGGTGCTTAATTGTTGCAGTCTACTGTTATTTTCTGTTATTTTTCTTACACAATATTATACTCTGTCTGTCTGTCTGTCTTCCTTTATCTTTCTTTCTCTCTCTCTCTTTTTTTTAAAAAAAATCCAACCATTTAGAAAGTCTTTTTAAGGGTGTTTGATTAAAATTTCTGGCTTTCCATTGCGAAGTTCTCCAGTGCATAAACCAGACAGAAGAGTATATTCCTTTTGGTAATCAAGACAGGAAGCTAGGAACAGAAGAGAGCAGCCCTCCAAACCCTTCTCCTCTGTCTCCCTCTTGCCAACAGATGTTTGTCAGGCTGTTTGTAGATGAAAACTTGGACCGAATGGTCCCAATCTCTAAGCAGCCCAAAGAAAAGATCCAGGCTATCATTGACTCATGCAGGCGACAATTCCCTGAGTATCAAGAGCGTGCCAGAAAACGTATCCGTACTTACCTCAAGTCCTGCAGGCGGATGAAAAGAAGTGGTTTTGAGATGGTGAGTTTTTAATTAAAACACAGCCGTAGATTCCATCAAAATCCCACATGTAAACCATGACACTATTTTTTTTTCATCTTAGTGTCCTTTTTATTTTTCCATGTCAGATCAAAGGGGTTTTTGTTTGCTTGTTTGTATTCCTCTCCCCTTCTCCTTTTCATCTTCCTGAAGTATTTATTCCCTTTGTTTATTCAATAATAAATATTTTGTCAAGCCAGTGCTTGCAGGCTCATATGCTTCCATGGCATAGAAAATGAGATGATACGAGTAAGTCCATGAGAAGAAACATCTCATTCACGTACTTTCCCCTCTGTCACTGCTACAGTCCATATAAGGGTAATCAAGTGTTTAACTGAAATACCACTTGTTGCTTTAGATGACTTGTCATAAAGGCCTTCTCCAGAGTGAAAGAAAATGGACAGATCTAGATCCACCTAAGTATTACTGCTTTCAGACAGTTGATAAGTAGCAAGTCTTTTTAAGAATTTTTTTTAAAAAAGTAATTTTTAAGAAATTGAAAACCTCAGTTGGAAAATGAGGCTTTGTTGTACTTAGAGTGAGTTTATACATTCATCTGGACTTTATAGATGGCATTAGATTGCTTCTGAGTAGAAATTAGGTAATTTTTTTTGCACTTTTTTTTCTATTTCATCTTGCTCTAATTTTCACACCTAGATTAAATGAATTTTCTTGCAGTGCTTTTTTTTCCCAACTTCTTTGTTTTTATGTATGTGAGCATAAATGTATTGGAAAGTTTCTGAATCCATTAATAATCCTGACTCTATTAAAGTCAAGATTATTAGGGTTTGTGATCTGTTTCTCTAATGTATTAGGTATGAATAGCTAGGGATTGATGTAGAAGAGAGATTCCAGTGTGCACCATATATGAGATTTTTTTAAAAGACTTAAATAACATTAAAAAAAAACATTATATCTATTGCTCGTTAGTCGTTATTTTCCCCAATGGACTGCTGAAATATATTCTATATTTTTGAGAAAAATGACTATTCATTATAGAAATACACTCTGGATGGCTAGAAGTCCAAGATTTGGTACCCCCAAAAGTCTGTTTTGGAATTCTGGATCTACCATAACATAACTGTGGCCTTGACAAGTTATTTCAACTGCTTATGCTCAGATGCCTCCTATGTACATAATAACCCCTAATTTATAAAACTCTGAGAATTGTTGCCACATTATCACATGTAAATATCTGCAAAAATAATTCTGACAAATAATAACTACTTCATAAATCTTGACCTTAAATATATTGTTAATCAAATATTATTTAAATTTTAAATCATCCAAAAAAAGGATCCTAAAATATTTGTATAATATAATCACAGGACACTTCATTTAAGTATTTTCCAACTTTTTTCAGAATAACTACAATGAAGTCAAATTATGGGCCCATGAGTTATTTTAATGTCAGCTTCAATTTTGATAATGAACTGATATGGTATGAAAGAATGCTTGACAAAAATTAAAGCCATTTCCTTCACTACTTAATAATTTTAAATTAATTAACACATGCCTAATAAAATAGTTAGATAAAAATGAAATATACACATTCATAAAAGCCCAGGATCCCAATATTGGTGCTTCATTTAGAACCACTTAAGAATTGCTATAAAATTTGAGTTGAAATTAAATATATCTCATTCAAAATTCAGTGTACAACATATAGTCATTCTAAAGCATAAAGATAATATATCAAATATCAATATTTGAATTTTATCTGAATCTTATATCAATGTATTCTTTTTAATCCTTTTTTTCTCTTTTGTTGGATGGAGTGGGTTGAATCACACTGCCAGAGATCACTCCTGACAGTGCTCAGGGAACCAGATATGGTGTCAAGGATTGAGCAAGGAGGATCAACACATGAAAAGCAAGCTTTATAGTTCTGTCTTCTATTCCTAATTTTTGTTTGCTTGTTTGTTTGGGGGACATCACAGCAGTGCTCAGGAATCACTGTTGGTGCTAAGCTAAGAGACCATATGTGTTGTGGGAGTAGATCCCAGGTTGGCCTCATGTAAGGCAAGCACCAAACCTGTTGTTTTATTTCTCCAGCCCCTCTTCCTAATCTTTTAGGATAGCACTGCACTGCACTGTCCTCCTTTTGTTCATCGATTTGCTCGAGCAGGACCAGTAACATCTCCATTGCGAGACTTGTTGTTACTGTATTTGGCGTATTGAATACATCACGGGTAGTTTGCCAGGCTTTGCCATGTGGGCGAGATACTCTCATAGCTTGCCGGGCTCTCTAAGAGGGGTGGAGGAATTGAACACTGGTTAGCCAGGTCGACTGCATGCAAGGCAAACACCCTACCACTGTGCTATCACTCCAACCCTATAATAAAGAAAAATAAAATTCATGTTCCCTGATTATCATGATTCATTGAAGTGATGATTTATGGGAGATGAAATGCTTTAATGACACAAAATCCAATATAATTTTTAGATAAATGATATAGAGGGACACTGATATTACAGTTTAGTCCACTTTTGTTTTCTACATTTTTCAGTAATACTTTTTCTGGACAAAACAAATGTTCCATCTGTTGATAATTGGTATTTCTACTACATTTATATATCACTTCTTTATCATGCAATATAGAGGAGAATCATCATTTTAAGCCACTGTAACTATCCTCCTATTGTTCATCAATTTGCTCGAGCGGGCCCAGTAACATCACCAATGTGAGACTTGCTACTGTGTTTGGCATATCCAATACATCATGGATAGCTTGCCAGGCTTGCAGTGTGGGGCAGAGGAATTGAACCCAGGTCGGTCTGGTCGACCAGATGCAAGGCAAACACCCTACCACTGTGCTATCATCATTTTAAGTACTCATCCTTATCAAACACAGATAGGAATTACTATGCCTGGGACAGAAAATAAATGTAAGTAGTGCAAACATATTTTTGACCTCATACTTATGAGGTTCATAAGATATCTACAGTTTTAATTGAAATCTAAACAAAAAAATGTATTCCCTCTTTATACAGATAGACATAAAGAAAATTACAAATTCAAATGTGTGATAAAAAATTCAAAGAGAATTATCAGAGAAGTAGTTTTTATCCCAATGTATATGAGAACTGTACGTAGGAATCTTAGCATGAATTCATTTTGACTGATTCTCTCCTATCATTAATAGGAAATATGTCCATAAAAACATGCCATCTTATGCAACTGAAATTTCTGAAAAAACATAGTCCTTTATTGAGAATCAAAAATCATAGTTTTGATTCTTAATCAGTAAAAATTTCTGTATCACACACCCAAATAATCTTTATAATGAATAAAGTTAGAATAACAATATACTTTCTACATGTTTACTATTATTAATTATCTCGAATCATAAAATTTCATGTTGCATAGAAGATAGACTACAGCTAAAGAGAAAACTGATAAACTAACATGTAGCTAGAAATTACAGGATTAAAATAGTCAAATATGAAAATATAAAATATTGGAGCATAGAATAAGAAATAACGATTTAACGGGCATTTCACTGGAGAAATTAAATTAAAATAGTATATATCCAAACAGGTAAGGAGGGGAAATATTTTAGTATTAAAAACCATAATTTTCAAGGACAGAGAACTAGAGCAACTCTAAGTTAAGGTTTTTCACAAATAAAAAGTTTAGATGAACAAAAAAATACATAACTTGGTGCAATTTAGATCAACCACAATAGATACATCCTAGAAATATATTAATGTCGCTAGAAAAAAATAAGTGATGGTCTAAACAGAAATTGAATTTACACATTTCTTATCCACAAAATAGATGTTAGAAGACAGTTATCAAAGAACAATACAATTTCAAAGTTTTTAGAACAATGCCTACCTACAAATCAGTATCATTTTAACTCTACTCCTAGAGCAGAAAAAATGAAATACCTCAAATGATTAACCAGATTACTACCCCAAGGTTAAAGGTAAAAGGTAAAGGCCCTCCCGTTGATTGTCGATTTGCTCGAGCGGGCCCAGTAACGTCTCCATTGGAGACTTTGTTGTTACTGTGTCTGGCATATCGAATACTCTCGGTAGCTTGTCGGGCTCTCCGAGAGGGGCGGAGGAATCGAACTCGGGTCGGCCATGTTGGCCGCGTGTAAGGCAAACGCCCTACCCGCTGTGCTATCGCTCCAGCCCATATCCCTGGATAAACTTATGTTAATAAGGAAATTTACTCTAATAAGGAAACTACCTCCTCTTCCTCTTTCTCTACTAGGAAATGAGTAGGTCTGGTGAGTAATTCTGCAGGAAGGCATTGTATAACACAGTCAGCGGATCTTTGGTCTGATTCCTGATTTACCACTTCTTGTGAACCTTGTATCCCTCACCTTTTACTACTAATGGGAAAAAAATAAAGTTAAATAACATAAAACCCAATAGCACCTGAAATAACAAAAATAAAATATCCCACCTAGAATGTTCCCCAGCTTCTGGGGAACATGATAAGAGGGAATTTAATCTGAAACTGCATTCAATGACTTCCTTTACTGGAAATCTCTCACTATCTCAGTTTGTTGAACTACTTGGAAGACTGAATCAATTACATATTTAAATCTCAATTCTAGATTAAATCAGCCTTAAATGTCTTTCTTCTGTGTGCGAATTGTAATTTGTGGTGGTACTTTTGTAGTTTTACTTTATCCTGTCCTATATTACTGTCACTTATATATGGGCCTTAACTCCCTGATAAGAAGTTATGTTCCTTGAGTATTCTGCTTCTTAAATTGATTCTCTCTGTTATCACCCACAGTGGTGTCTATTATTCATTTAGCTGCTCAATACACAATTAAATTAAAAGTTAGTGAATGTAAGATGAGTGAATGAATAGCTAATTGTTGGTGTGATATTTTGTGGTAAAGATTAGTTGGCAGAGTAGGCTAATTTTATCGCATGGTCTAAGTCCCATAGTGTTCTGCAATTGATATTTTAAAAGCTAAAGCTAGGTAACAAGTAAAATTAGGAAAGGGACAGAT